CTCATCAACTGTCCTTCAGTCGTCTTGGCTTCTTTACTCTTTCTAAAAGATGCCAGACATTGTCCTTCAGTAGAGCCTGGTTCACTGGCTCTTCCCTCTTTCCCCAAGTATTTACATGGCTTTTAGACATCATCAGATCTCTGCTGAAAATGCCACTGCCTTGGAGAGGCCCCTCCCAACCACTCATTAGTATTGCAACCCCTTCTTTCATGAATTCTTTCCACCTTCACTGCTTTACTTTTCCTCAGTTCATTTATCATTGTCTCTCATATGATTTAATTTTTTACTGTCTGTTTTCTCCCTATAGAATGTAAGCTCCAAGAGGGGAGTTTCCCCCCTTATATTTTTGTTCATTGTTTTATTCTTGGCTTCTGAAACAGTTCTTGAATATATAGTGGGTTCTCAGTATATAAATGTTGAATGAATGAATGAGAAATACCTACATATTTCTTATGACTCAGAGCACATGTCACTTATTTAGGATTTTCACTGAAGGGCAGGGACTATCTTTATCTTATTCATTGCTATATTCCTAGTATCCAGTAAATACTTGGTATGCTCAGTTAATAATTGTCAAATGAGTAAATTAAACTGGAATGGCTTCAGAGAGAACCATACATAGACCCCAAGTGTAGAGAGGTTGGTTAGGTAGGAGTCCTAGGCAGGTACGGCATTAACAAGATGTAAACGTAGGCACTGCTTCCTGGATGGAGAGGGTGGAGCAAGAAGAGTGACCTGAATGAAGCATAGAGAGCCAGTTAAGGAGTGTGGGGCACGGTGCTATTTAGGAATGTGGGACCAGGTTGTGGAGGGCATTGGGATAATAATAACTTACTAAACCTCCATAGCTTAAAAAGGTTGATGCTAATATACTCCTAATGTTATAGGCCCAGAATGATGAACTTCTCCAAGTGCTCAAGACAGATCTGAAACTCAAGTGTTCTAATTTAAGAGCCTCCATCCTTAACTACTATGATATACTGCTGGGCAAAGTACGTTAAACATACCAGTGGTGGATCTTAAGAGTGTTGCAGGTCATTCGATAGATACTACTGTCTTTTAACTTCTTTTTAACTGTTATAGTTTTTAAGTATTTCAGTGTCTCAAATGAATAGTCAAGAAAAAATAAGTCTTTTCAGGTTGTTTTGTATTTGATCATTCCCCAGCGTTTGACCATTTTTGACCACCACGTTCTTCTTTTTCAAAATTCTATCCTTGGCTTCTGTTACACTATATCTCCTACCTTCAACACTATATCTCCTACCTTCATTTTCTTCCTACTTCTGTGTCCCAGGTTCCTTTGCAGGCTCCTGTCTATGAGTTTATGAACTTACAAGTATTCATCAGTGTTCTAGCCCTCTAGGCCTTCTATTTTTCTCACCCTATTTACTCTTCTTGAGCAATTTTATCCATTCCCATGACTTCAGTGAACAACTATGTGCTGACAATTCCCAGATCTGTAGTTTTTCTTCCCTACACCTCTGTCATTAGATATATATGTAAATGTCTCTTAGACATCTCACTCTCCAAAGATGTTTTGAAATGGATGTTTTGAAAGTACATTAGAGTTAACCCATTTAAAAATGAACTCCCCAAGGCAATCTGCAGATTTGATGCAATCCCTATCCAATTACCAAAGGCATTTTTCACAGAACTAGATAAAAAAAAAAAAAATCTTAAAATTTGTATGGAGACACAAAAGACCCTGATAGCCAAAGCAATCTTGAGAAAGAAAATCGGAGCTGGAGGAATCAGGCTTCCTGACTTCAGACTATACTACAAAGCTACAGTCATCAAAACAGTATGGTACTGGCACAAAACAGAAATATAGATCAGTGGAACAGGATAGAAAGCCCAGAAATAAACCCATGTACCTATGGCCAGTTAATCTACAACAAGGAGGCAAGACTATACAATGAGAAAAGACAGTCTCTTCAATAAATGGTGCTGGGAAAACCAGACAGCTATATGTAAAAAATGAAACTAGAACATTCTTTAACACCATACACAAAAAAAATCTCAAAATGGATTAAAGACCTAAATGTAAGACTGGATACTATAAGAGGAAAACATAGGCAGAACACTCTTCAACATCAATTGCAGCAATATCTTTTTGGATCCACCTCCTAGAGTAATGGAAATAAAAACAAAAATAAAAAATGGGAGCTAATTAAACTCAAAAGCTTTTGCATAGCAAAGAAACCACAAAACGAAAAGACAACCCACAGAATGGGAGAAAATAATCACAAACGATGCAACCAAAAAGGGATTAGTCTCCAAAATTTACAAACAGCTCACGTGACTCAATATCCAAAAAGCAAACAACCCAATCAAAAAATGGGCAGAAGACCTAAATAGACATTTCTCCAAAGAAGACATACAGATGGCCAAGAGGCACATGAAAAACTGCTCAACATCACTAATCATTAGAGAAATGCAAATCAAAACTACAGTGAGATATCACCTCACAGCAGTAAGAATGGCCATCATCAAAAAGTCTACAAACAATAAATGCTGGAGAGGGTGTGGAGAAAAGGGAACCCTCTTGCACTGCTGGTGGGAATGTAAATTGGTACAGCCACTATGGAGAACAGTAGGGAGGTTCCTTAAAAAACTAAAAATAGAGCTACCATGTGACCCAGTAATCCCACTGCTGGACATATATCTAGAGAAAAACATGGTTCAAAAGGATACATGCACCCAATGTTCATTGCATCACTGTTTACAATAGCCAAGATGTGGAAGCAACTTAAATGTCCATCAACATAGGAATGGATAAAGAAGATGTGGTACATATATACAGTGGAATATCACTCAGCCATTAAAAAGAATGAAATAATGCCATTTGCAGCAACATGGGTGGACCTGGAGATTATCATACTAAGTAAGTCAGACAGATAAAGACAAATATCATATAGTATTGCTTATGTGCAGAATGTTAAAAAAAAATGACACAAATGAACTTATTTTCAAAACAGAAACCGACTCGCAGACTTCAAAAAAAACTTATGGTTACCAGGGGGGAAGAGTGGGGGGGATAGATTGGGAATTTGGGATTGACATGTACACACTGCTATTTTTAAAACAGATAACAAACAAGGACCTACTGTAAAAAAATAATAATTAAAACAGAGGGAGCTCCAAATCTTTGTTACCTTCTTCCCTTTCACCCTTAACATGCTTCTGCCTTATTCTGTATCTCATTGGGTGTCACCACTAACTACACACTGTTGCTCAAATCAGAAACCCAGAGGTTAATTTTGACTATTTTCTATCAGATCAATCATTCACCAAAGTCTATTGATTCCATCTCTTAAATATTTATCCTGTTTGTCCAGATCTCTCAATTCTGTCACTACCATGGAATTGGCCACTATAGTCTCTCAAGCGTTTTTATGCATCAGCCTCCAAACTGATTTCTCTGCCTCAAGTTATACTTTTCTCCAGTCTATTCTCCATACTGTGACTAGTACCGTCCTTCTAAAATACAGACTTGATCATGCATTATTTTTCCACCATAGTTGGAAATAGCAATATCAAGTGCAGCAGTAGAAGGCAGAGAAGGAATAGGCAGACAGGTAAAAGTAAAACCAGAAATACATACAGTTTCAGTGCTGATTTAGTGACTATGAGGGTTAGGTCCCCAAAATGATAGAAATCTAGTATTACTGAGCATCTACTAAAAACAAAAATGTCACTTGCTTATACTATAAATGTGTTTATTCACTAGATATATCTTTCCCTGGATTTTAAAATATACTCTGCCTTTCACACTACTATATTATAATCTATCTACAGAATAATCAACTTTAATATATTCTCTAAATCACTGACATGATACTCCTATAAATTAGATATACAATTTATTTTTCTCACATAACAGTTTCACATTTTTAAATGACTTTTTAGGTGGTGCATCATTCTCTTTTTCACTTCGGGCCTAAATTCTAATGTCCCTTCTCAGTTTAAAGTGCAAATATTTTGTAAAATCTTGACTTTCCGGAAATACCTCAATCTATGCAAAGACTATGTACAAGTCAAATCTGACTTTTAAGAAGTTTCAGTTTATTTCAGAGTTATTCTCAAGAAAGTGTGGAAAGGATTCAGATTAATCTCTATAATCCTGTTATATCATTTTTATTTTCTTTTGAAATATTGTGGTTCCCAAGAAGTTATGAAACAGAGTTCAGATTTATTCTCTGGGTTTAAAAATCCTCCATTAATTTGCCTCATCCTACTTTTCCCCTTTTGTATCCTCGTTTCTCCTTTAAAAATTGTGCAAATCTTGTATGTTTAGATCCCCAGTCACACATTGCTCATTCTGACCTTGAATCTTTGTTGATATAGCTACCTACCAGAGGTGGGCAGTTCAAATAAAGAGTGAGCTGGGCAAGTTCTGAGACAGTAGGAAGTGTTTTAACCTGAAGACATATTTCAGTCTAAAGATGTCCATGTTTGTAAATTTAAGCATGTATGATTTAAACAAAACATGCTTACATATAAGTTATAGTGATTGACTGTGACCTCTGGTTCATACTGTTTCCTCCCCCACCATCTCTGTAATGTCTTGGATCTTTAAGATTAGTTTTCCAAATGCAGCCTTTTTTGCTAGATCTAGCAGGAATATGGCTTCTGTGAATTATTCCTGGCTATATCTAAAACATCATGTTTTACCTGTACTTTTGACTAGCTCTAGTTAGGACATATCAGATTATCAGTCACCATGCCAGATGCTTTACATATGTTACCCACTTTATTTATTTACCCATTAATGTATGTCATCAGCATAGTTGGTATCCCCAGTTTATAGATATCAAATCTGAGAAGCAGAAGAAAAGTAACTTACCGAAAGTCCCATAGTTAGTAAATGAAAATGATTTTAATGGATGAGCTGTTACATGATATTTGAAAGATAGTTTCATGAGCATTTTTTTTTAAAGAATGCAGTATTCTCTTATTTTTCAGTTTCCATGTTATAATATTGTACCCTGTTTTTTCAGTGTATAGTCTTTGCTATGACTTCTGGCCAGATGTGGAATCATATCCGTGGACCACCATATGCTCATAAAAACCCGCACAATGGACAGGTGGTAAGTGCATGTTCTGTGCATCAGTATTATGAACTTTAATCCTGTTTACATAGGAATCCGAAATTCTGTTTAGCATTTAGTAAGAGAGGATTCTATTTGTAAATTGAAATATATGTTCTTTCTCTTCTCATTTACTACCTTCACCATGTACATACACACAACATGCACATATATATTTTTTTTTAGGGTGAGGACTGCTTTAGCGTGGATTAAAAAAAATTCAGTGTACCTACTTATCAAATATATACACATAAATTATTTTTTCAACTTTGCAGACTGCTATGGCAATAATATGTAATGCCAAAAGAGGAAATAGGAACAGTCTGTAGCGAGTGTCCCAGCAATGATAAATTTAATTTAGCTCAGAAGATCATTAAGAACCCTGAAGCCATTGTATTAGGATGTCAGGAACTGTTTGCCAGAAAATTGAAAGTGAAATTGGTGTGTAGTTAAATCAGTAGCAAAATTTACATTAGTAACTGCTACTGTTTTGCTGCCTTCCCTTTCCTTTTGGTGGGTGGGAAATATTGTCATAGATCAACTTGGCAGAATACTGTCTTTGAGGCTTAGTATTAGGTTGGTGAAGATTACTGTTTTAAAATGTGCCTTTTTTCTCTAGCTTTTTCTTTATACAGATTTTGAGGGAAGAATATAATGACACCCCTCGTGCACTCATCACCAAACTTAATTACCAGTTCATAGCCAATCTTGTTTCATCTATTCTCCCATCCAGTTCTCTTTACCGCTGTTGGATTCTTTTGAAATAACTGCCCAATATCATTTCATTTCAAACATAAGTATTTCAGTAGGTACCTCTAAAAGATGAGGCTTCTTAAAAAATCATAACCACAGTGCCAGAATCACACCTAAAATGGTAATAAATTCTTAATTTCTGAATATTGTGGCTCTGAACGGAATAAAGTTATCCCATGGCCAATCATGTTATAATTTCTCTATAAATATAAATATATAATGTAAGCTTATGAGGTTTGTTCTTCATTGCTTACAGTACTTCAAATATCTTTAATATTAAAAAAGCTAACAAGTTATTTCTTCTTCCTAAATTGTTTGTGGCTTTCTTTGAACTTCTTTGTGGAACTGTAATATAGGGGTATAGTTCACTTTACTTACTGTATGTACCCTGGTGGCTCAATTAGATTTTAAGGGCTGGTTGCTAGTTACAGTCACTGATACTATATAATAACCATTTTGGTCTCATATTTTTGTCAACATTTTCAGATTTCTTCTATAGGTGTCAAGAATATGGAGTCAAAGTTAGACTCTGGATAATCAGATGCTATAGTAAATCAGACATGTCTTTTGTTATGTGTACTCTGTATTTTTTAAATCTGTCACTAATTAGAAAAGTGATTTGAATGTCTAATATTCAAAATTAATTTTACAGAAAAAATAATTGGAAGTAATTATCAAGCAATAAATTGTCCCCTTATCTTCAAGTCTTCCTGACCATCCTATTTAAAAGTGTAGTCCTTTTCTCTCATCCTCTTCCCCAATACCCATACTCACTGTCTTCCTTTCCTTTTTAAATTTCTTCTCCATAGCACTTATAACACGTTATATAATTTACTTATTTTGTGTTACTTTTGTTTGTCTTTTGCCAGGACCCCAGTAGGGTATAAGCACTTGACAGCATGGCTTTTTATCCACTTTGGTCCCTGATATGTTCCTATTTCATAAAGAGGGCCTGATACAAAGATTTGATCACTATTGTGTTAATGATACTTAAAAGTGTAAATTTTGGAAATTGATAAAATTTTTATTACTGCCTTTTAATATTCTTATAACATTTCTTAGACAAATAAACATATTAAGCATTGCTTTTTATTATTTGCTTAAATACATTTGTTAAAGTATATGAAAAATTCATCAACATTCTTGTGAAATGTTTTAGCTTATGTAGGGGAAGAAAATATAATTTTCCCTCTACTGTTCTGAGTCTTTGGCTGAGGCCCCTGTAACAAAAGACAGAATGACGAGAGAAAAACAAACAAAGTGGTTAACATGTGTACCTCATGTATACATGGGAGATAGGGAAAAATGAATAACTCTCAGAGGTGGCTTAGAGCTCAGGCTTAAGTGCCATCTTCAGTTACAGACAGAAAGAAAGGTATTGAGGGAAAGCCAGTTGTGGAAGTGACCAGGAAAAGTAAGATAAGCAAAAGTGAGGTGTAGTGTGCAGATTTAAGTTTGCGGTTGCCTTCTCCATTGATAAGGATCTAAAGTTGTCTCCAAGGATTGTCTCCACCTGTAGATTGTCTCTACCTATGTCCTTGCTGGTAGAGAAAGGAGGAGGGACACCGTTGTGAATTTATGTCCTGCTTTTAGGCAGATTGGAGAAGGCAGAGAACTTTTCTAGTATCTGCTTCTTCTCAGTGCCTTCAGCTTAAAATAATTCTTAGGCCAAAGTGGCATATTTTAAAGTGTTGTATTCTGTCACTCTTCATTCTCACTGTAATCTTCTTACCATTTCAGCCATTACTTGGCTAAATCATGAGACTCTAACCCCCTCACACGTCGTTTACTGGAGTAAGCGCCAAAAAAATTTGCACTGACTACAGTAACAGTGACAACGTGGATGCCATCTATTGCTCACTGAATATATGCTAGGCACTAGACTTCACAAGTGAGTATTTTAGGCCACTAGGTGAATATTCCTAAAGCATACTTTGACTATATTGATAATATTAATATGTGTGGACCAGAGTTATCAGTTAAATTGGAAATCCTAAGTGACTGTCCATTACTTGCCCATTGTAATTTTCCTTTCCAGCCTAAGACCTCTACTCCTTTGCAGAGAAACTCAGTGTTAGTGTATTTGTACTGTCCCTTGTCCCCTAAATATATGCTTTATTTTGCTGCTTCCATTCCTGGAATTTCTATCAAATCATGCCCATCCTTCAAATACCACCTAATTTGCCAACCCTCTGAAATGCATTCCTTAATTACGTTAGAAATTCTTCTTCCCTTTACACATTTATAAATATGTAGTTAGCCCATTTATGTATCTCTGCATTCCTTTATAATAATATTTTTTTAATATTTTATGTATTAGTCAAATTCTTAACATAGGGAGTTTCTTTTAAGCTATTTTTCATCTTTACACTTACATACAGCTGTTCCTCAATGAATGTTTTATTAAATGATTATAAAGACTCACACTAGGAGATTTTGGTTTCTTGAATTGTATTATCTTAATTCTTTCCATTTATTTTTTGTCACTAGTCTGAATGATAAAAGGATCAACATGTCACTGTTAATTCCGCATAAACCAGTTAGTAACCTTAATGTGACAGGAACACTTATTTTAATGTTTAGATTAGATTGGAAAGAAATTTTCTCTATTGATTTAGAAAACGTTTTGTTTGCCCCCTCCACATTGTTGTATTACTATTTTGTAAGTAGAGATTGGCATGGCCCTTAGGAAAAAGGTACTGTGATGGCCCAGAGGAACACATTAAGAAAACAGAATTTTCTATACTTTTAAAAGAAAAAAACTTTTCCTTCATACGTGCATCTAGTTTTCAGGGTACGTATTTTAGCTTTTCAGCACCTTAATCAAAAGTTACAGAAATGATGAGACTGAAACCTATAACCAGGTTGTTTAAAGAAATGAATTTTGTCCCAGACTCTTCACGAAATGAATTTTGTCCCAAACTCTTCACCCTCATATTTTATAAAAACATTTTTTCTTATATTTGAATAAAGTATTAGGATTGAAGGAAAAAAATCACGAAAGTCTTGGAAATCTAGGAGCTTCTTGCTGCACAATCAATTGCTTGAGTGCGCTCTTGGCCAGAGATGTGGATATGGTTTTGGACTGATCTGTTAATTACTAAGATGTTACTTACTAAGCAGTATACACAAAAGCAGGTTAAAGGGACAGGAGAATGTTGCCAGTTAGTATATAGCTCTTTTCTTGTTTTGCATTTTAACGTATTTTAGCAAAACTTCCCTTCCTGCTTTTTAATATGCATAATGTCAACATACACTGAAACAGAAAATTGTTTTTGTTTTAATGAATTGATTTGCATAATAATGTGTTTTCATATTACTGGAACAAAATAGAAGATTAACTTTGCTTTATAAAATCAAGTGGTTACTGGTACAGAATTATACTTTAAACAATGACTGTCCATTAGAATAATAATAGTGAATGGTTTTCTTTATAATAGATGTGTTTAAATTTCAAGATATAACTTGAAAATCAGCACTATCCTTCTTTGGTAATTTCTTCATATTTTAACCTGTATTTCTGAAAAGAAATTACCATGTAGGATTTGTGTTTTTGAGAATAACTATAATTAGACTATTTATCTCTTTCAGTGGTATGGAATAAAATGACAAAGTGAGTATCTTATGAATATTTATAAAGGACTTTTATATTTGGCATTAATTCTTACGACCAATGCACATTTAGTGGAGTAAGGTATATGAAACAGTAAGTTTACTGCGGTTTTCATATTTGTAACATAATTGAATAACCATTTACATTTTAAAGACATTTTTAGGTAGCTATTACACATAAATATCAGCTAAATGAATTCTAATTTTTGTTCATTTTTTCTAAATTAATTTTTAAAATATGTTTGGCTTCAACTGTTTGATTTATGTTAGATGATTTAAGAAATTTGTATTAAAATTGTTTATGAAGAAGTATTTCAATGTTAAGGTGAACTTAACTTTGTAAATACTTTAAAATTGTACTATGAAGGTCTGTATGGTTTCCAGAAATAGTTGGGTTGTTCCCCCGCCCCCCCCACCCCCCGGTTTTTCTGAAGTTGGTTTCTAAATAGAATTCTGGATGGTGGTGAGTTCTTTTGTGTCAAACTTTTTAAATTGCCTAATTTGCTGTTTTTCCTGTATATGGGAGTTTTTAATGGATTTGGCGTTGTAACATCTAGTTTTATACCTTTTAAGCATAATACTGTGAGGTCAGAGAGCAGGTATTTTACAAATGAGGAAAAATAATAGTCCAAGTA